AAAAAAAAAAAAAAAAAAAAAATATTTGAACAGTCTAACATTGCTAAATACTTTTATGAATAGAATAATATACCAAATTTTGGTGACAAATAGTATGTGATAATATGTTTTGTATAAAAAAAATTTAGACACAGTATAAAAATAATTATATTGCCTCACAAACCAGTCTTACCTGTATGAGTTCTTACATGCGTTTTCAGCTGGTTACACTGGGTAAATGCTTTTCCACACAAGTGGCAGACATAAGGTTTGACTCCTTTATGTATTCTCATGTGCCTTCTCAAGCTGCTGGCTTCTGAAAACACTTTCCCACACGTGTTACACATTGGCTTGGCCTTGGAATACCTCTGATCCAGCTCTTCCCCAGAATTCTCCAACTCATAAGGACTCTTGACACTGGCTATATTAGACATAGAGTGTTCTTTCAGAGCACAGTTTGGCTGTGATTTTCCTCGTTTCCGTTTCACTGTAACAGTTTGCACAATATCTTGTGCTGGAAAAGTATTTTCCATAACTGATGTCAACTCCAGTTCTGAATTATCATTTCTTTGTGTAACTTGTGCTACTATGGGTGTGGATAACTTATTTGTATCTAAGAATAATTCAACAGATGCATTCTCTAAAATGTCACTGGGATATTGCACTGTTTTATTCTGCCCTGTTTTCTGGGAGTTGAAAGACTTCTTTTTCTTTTTACTTTGAGACGACTTCTTTGCTAAAGCTCCTTGTTTAGGATTTGCCTGAACTAAATCTGCGGATACTTCTGACTTCTCCCGATTGCTGTAATCTCGTAGAGTAAGAAGACAAGTCTGTTGATTCAATTCAATGTTTCCAGTAATACTAGATAACTCTGTAGAAGAGGGATTAGCAATAAAAGCAAAATCTTCCATCTTTATTTTACATTTAGTGACCACCTCTTCCACTTTGAGATAGTCAGCAGCCTGATGAATTTCTTTAACATTCCAACTGTAAGGAAACAAGGCTAAATGACAATATTCTGATCAAAGAAAAACTGTTTTTGAAACACAGCTGCAATATACTTCAGTGTCTTTTAAAGACCTAATGAAGCAGAATGCTGAAAAAGGTGTAAGTAAGAGAAAAACATTTATATAATTAATTCATTCAGAATAATGTTCAGATAAAAATCTCTAATTTTACAGAACTTGAAAAGATGAAAAATAGCTATTCAGAGGTGTCAATGAACCAGTACAGAAAAATGAAATGTTAACTTTTTTGGCTGTTTTAAAAAAAACCCTAGAACACAAAAATACCTGCTGGCAACTCACTGCCTCCTCCCATTCACCCTGAGGCCTCTTCAGATGGCAACCAACTTTTCTGGATTGGCAACAGGAAGAGTAATAAAACTTGTTTCCTGCTATCTTCCCCTGCTCCCCTGTGAGGGACATTAAGTTTCTCAAACTTTATTGTGCACGTGAATCACACACGGAGCTTGTTAAATGTAGACCCAGATTCAGGAGGTCTGTGATGGGGCCTCAGATTCTCCATTTCTAGTACACTCCCTGGTGATATCAATGCTGCTGGGTTAGGGTCACTTGGAGAAACAAAGTTTTAGAACCTGTTAAGCTCTCTCTAGCAACCCTCCCACACCTTTTTTGGCGACACTCAACTCAAGGTAGCTGGAGAGTTTGTCATTAGATTTATATAGAAAAGATTTAAGCCACTGTGTTCAACATTCTAGTCAAGGTTTACTGAGCATCTACCATGGGTAGTACTAAAGAGATGTTAAAAAATAACAAAATGAAAAATAAAATAAAAAAAAAGAAACAACAAATAATCTCTGCCCTTCAGAAGTTTACAACGTGGTGAAAGGTTTGTTTTAATCCAGCAGTGGCTCTGGCATTACTAGCTGAATTAATTGGGATAAGTCTGCATCTTTAGGGGCTTCAATTTTCTTGGCTGTATAATTAGAGAGTTTAGTTGGTATTAGTACTAAAAATATGACCCTTTTAATTATGTGAGAATGGAAATACACACACACACACACACACACACACACACACACACACCTTCCAGTAATGTTCCTATTTGCCATTTTCCCCAAATATTGTTTAGTTCTCTAGGAAGATGATATCTTTTCCCTCTTTATTATAAGCCAGAAACATGTTTATATAGTGCTGGTAATACTGTTTTTGAAAAAGGACTAAAATTTGAAGTCAAATTAAAAACTAGTGTCAAGAATCTCTAAGATCTCTAAAAGTATCTGATAGTATTTGCCATTTTCCCCAAATATTGTTTAGTTCTCTAGGAAGATGATATCTTTTCCCTCTTTATTATAAGCCAGAAACATGTTTATATAGTGCTGGTAGTACTGTTTTTGAAAAAGGACTAAAATTTGAAGTCAAATTAAAAACTAGTGTCAAGAATCTCTAAGATCTCTAAAAGTATCTGATAGTATCTACAAATCTCTACTCATATTCTCATCATCTTCTAATTAAACCTGCTTTGGCTCAAGTGCCACCTATACGTTTCCTCTGATTTAATTTAGCATTGCAATGGATTTTTAAAAATTGTCTTTTATTATAAACTTAATCATTTTTCAACTCATTATAGATTTATAGGCTAATATGAAAACCCTGACCACCAACTTGGAGAATATTTCATTCTCTGGGAAAATCCATCCCAAGTTCCTAAATGTATTACAAATAAACTTTTGGTATATAATCTGAGTCTTTTCCCTAGATAAGAAAAGTTACCTAAGACATTCTTTTCTTACAGCTCTTGGCTGTACTTTTTAAAATATATAATGAATGATTTTTGTGATCAAGTTAATTCTCTATTTGCAAAGAAACAGCACAAATTCCCCAAATATAAAAACAATCTTATTCACCTTTTATATAAAATGTTTTATACATATATACAGCATCATCACTCTCCAAAAACATCAGATTTCTTCTTAGGCATTTTTATTGGTTTTGTCACATAATCTATTATTAAGAAGTACAATAAATGAGTGACACTAGTAGAATGAAAATTAAATTTATGCTACCATTTATGTGTAACTAAAAAAGATCTTTTGGTCTCAAATTATAATTGTGCTTAGTGTTCCAGAAAATGAACCACCAAACAGATAACAAGGTCAGGTAGCCTTTAAGACCAATATAAGCTAGCATTAAGTGATACACAAATTGTACAATATTAAAATAGTAATTCATACAAACTATCTATTTCATAGACAGCCTATAATCTCAGTCAAGAGAACCAATCAGCATTTGTTTACTTTAATAATTGATCTGCTTTTGTTTGTAAGTATTAAGTAACAGTGTTTCTGAACTTGCTTTCATCTTTTGAACAGCCACCGAAGGTCATTTAATTACATATTGCCAGGTATATGCCTGAATGGTTTATAAGATTAGTTCATTTAATCCTCAGGACATGCCTATGAAATCGATTATAATCCTCATTTTACATACAAATGAAAAATCAGAGATCCAAAAAAATTAAGTAACTTGTCCAAGATCATAGAGAATTAGAACCAAGGTAGACTGGCATTAGAGCCTACTTCATTCTATTATTCTGCCTGTTTTCTTAATCACTAAGTTGTAAGCCTTTCTATTTTGGTGTAAGTCCTCTCTTACATTTCCGACTGGGCTCAAAGAATTAGCTACCCAGCTCCTCAGGAAAGATATGTACCAGAAAAGACTGAACAAAACACCTGGCTCTTCTTTACACTGGTTTTTTGCATGAAGGCTCAAAGTAAGGTGCTCTGCCTTGTGTTCAAATCAATTTAAGATTTTTCTCTGGTATAGTTAATTGAGAAAGGGAAACCATTAAATTGAAGGTCGGCCAAAATTCACTGGTCTTGTTATTTTTTATTAAATATTCTAAATTTTAAGATCAGAGATGCCTGCATAGTTGACTATTTAGCAAAGTTAAATAATTTATCATGTGAGATTAATCTATGACACTATTCCTTTAATCAACTTACACAGAAGTGACTCACTTAAAGATTTCATTATACTAAAATTTAAAAATAATTCCAGAACAGCATGAATGTTTCCTTTTCAAAAGGATTAAGTAGCACCCTCATTCTAGTTTTTTTTAAAAGTTTATTTCCATGATGAGCTACAATATAAAAGGAAGGGAAGGATTTTGCTTAATGTGTACATGCGTATCTCCATAGAGATCATCTGGAAAACAACGAATGAAAATATATAAAAATGTAAATAGTGGTTATCTGTGGGTGGCAGAATTTCAAGTGTTCCCATTTTTTGTTTTTTCTAATTTTTCTCCAAGAAAAGTGGAATTAAAGGGGGAAGAGAGCGGAGGGTAGAGAAGAGAAAACAAAGGAAGGAAATTAATGTTCACTGAGAGTTGGTTCTTCAAGTAAATCCATATTTAATCTTCATAGTTAACACCAAGGTGGTTATTACCATCTCATTTTTAGATGGGGAAACTGAGGCGCAGAGAGGTTACATCTTGCTTAAGGAGACACAGTGACTAACAGGCAAGATCTAATTCCAAAGCCTATAATCTTTCCATGTCAGAAGATTATGAATAGTCTACTTGTATTCATACTTTCATAAGAGATGGAATTAAGAAGACAGGGGTAATCTGACCAGTTTCTCTTTGCTTTTATCCCCTCCACATTCCCCCCACAATCAGTAAATGTAATGCTATTAATCCATTAAGTGGGGAGACACACAGTGCCTGCATTCATTATCAGATTCATTAGAACCTACTTCTTCTTAATGCAGTGACAGTAGTAAGCATTTTAGAGAAGAATTCTAGCATCTCTGACCTGACTTAAGCATTAATACTAGTCAGCTAACAGAGATAACAGAAGGAGCCACTGCCATGTTATGCTCCAACGAAGTTATTTTCCAGAATCAAGATCAAGAAGAGGTCCCGCATGCTGCTGTTTTTGTTGGCAATGGGAGAACTATTACATGAACACAGAGGTTCTACCTTCTTTCCCCATCTACTCTCCACTCCAAACACCTTAAGAAGGAAGGGATAGAGTGAGAGAGAGAAATCAGAGAAATATGAAGACCAAAAAGCAATGGGAAACTGGAATTCACTTAGAATTTGTTGTGTTTGATCTTAGAGTTTACATAACTAAAATCACGGGCTTTGTTTCAGTAGATAAATCTGTCAGAAATCATATTAACATCTGTGCTTTTTGTGCTTATGAAATGTTTGCTCATCCCAAATCAATAATACTGACTTCTTCATTAAAACACTGTGTGCATGACTCTAAGTTCAGAAAATGAATGTTAAAAATACAAATCTACTTTAGCTCTAAAGACTACTGACTAGCTTTTATAACTGAAAATAAAATGTGTACTTTACCTGTCAAGATTTAAAGTTCCTGTATATATAAACTCCAACAATTTCTGAAATCCATCAGCCTTCACCTGACTCTGATCAAGAAAGACATTGTTCTCAGATGTGCTTCTGTAGATCGCACCAAAATACTCACTAAACGAGGCGAGCACATTCCTATGAGCTTTAAACTGGAATTCCCCAATCACTATGGTGCAGTCACAAAGAAAACCTGCTTCCCGTTGTTTGTTCAGTCTCTCTAAAAGGTGTTCACAGTGGTGTGAATACTGCATTTTGATATCAGAATGGAATTTTACCCGTGACCTAAAAGACAAAAAGAAATAGTAAATCAGTAACTACATTTTTATGAAACGTTCGCTCAAGCAATTGATGGAGGGAGAAGTGACAGAGTACGTAACATGAAGTTAGCTCTCATTTTATCATTATCAAGCATATATGGTGAAAAATGCTTAAGGCATATGTGACTTTCTGTTTTATCTTGACCAACTAACACAATCTTTTGGACACCTAAATAAATAACGATGAATGAAAACACTTCCAGTAGCTGAAAAAAGCACCGCAAAATTTCACGCTTTTACACCAGTTGAGCCCTCAGACTTTCAAGCTCAGTAGACATATGCATGTTAAAAAATTTAAAAGGCAGTAAGAAATGATCACTTGGGACAGATGGGAGGAGACACGGTAAGAGTTGTTTAAAATTGCCCTCAAATCACCAAAACCTGTTAGCTTCCCCAGTGCAGTTTCACTAAAACGGAGGCGGGTGCCCAGGGGGCGGGGAATGCGCCAGGCCAAGTACTGTCAAAGGTTCTATTACTCGCCACACCGTCTCCCCTCCCGCTCCCCACACAAGGCGGCGTCGGAGAGTGACAACCAAAGCCGGTCCCTCCTCGGCTTCTGTTATCCAGCCCTCCACCCAGCTCCCAATCCCGCGAATTCCCACAGCAGGGGTTGTGACCAAGGCCACCACCCGGGCTGCCTAGCCCAAGCTTTCCACCTTCGCTCTGACCCGTGCTCGAACTCCAAGGAGGCTGCCCTCCGATGGCCTAGGGCCTGGAGAGAGCGGAGATGGCAGGCTGGGGGCAAAGTCGGAACTCACCGATAGCAACCCAAGGGGGGAACACAGTTTCTTCACTCTCTCTCCGCCATGTTGGGAGGACGTCACTGCGCTACGCTCCGCCTCTCCCTTCTCCATCCACCGCGGCGTCACGTCCGGGTCTGTCATCCCGTAGCAACGCAGGAGGCTCTAGGGCCGTGGAGGTCCGACGCTGGCCAGGTTGGGACTGGCTGGCCGACAGAGACCGCACTTACCCTCATGCTAGGACCCCCCACACACACACCGCGGGACAGCAGGCGTCATGGAAACGAGATCTAAGGACTCGCTCACAGCACTCGGCCTGCCTTCGTCGTTCTAAGCATTGCGGTGGGCCGACATCGTCTCGCGGTCGGCCGGGATTCTAGGCCGAGGCCAGGCAGTGCCGCACAGCGATCTTGTCTCCTGGGGCCAGCTGCGCATTGCATGCTGGGGCTTGTAGTTGCTCGTCTTATCCCATCATCCTCCCTTTCCTCAGGGCCCCACCAGTGGGAACTGCTGCGTTGTGTACCCGCGCTCTCGGCCATTGGGGATTTTTGAGCTGAGACTGAGCACCCCTTTCCCGTTTACGTACCCGAAAGCTCTCGGGACCCTCTGGTTCTTGTCCGCACCAGCCAACTCTAGCTCAGTTTCCAGGATACCCTTACCTGGTGATAGAAGTCTGAGATGCACGAAAGCGAAGCAAAGCAGTTGTACACACTGGGCATGCGCAACACTAGAGGAAGGTGGGCTTTATACCGGAAAAGGTTTTCCTGCGTTTGGACTAGAAAAATTTTAATACAATTATTTATATCGATTTCAGATTTCGAACAGTGAAGGAAAAAGATACCAGTTATCTTTGTAATGTGCAAAAGTGTCAGAAAAAATAAGTCGTGTTGGTATGTTAGAGTAGATTCTTCCCTAGTACCCGCGGACATTATAAACTCTCAGAAAACCAGAACTTCAACATTTTTTCTTGTTAAAAGTTATGTGTCAGGACTGCAAGGAATCTTCCCGCGACTTTATCTGAAAGGACAGCGTCGGCTTAAATATATTCGTCTCTTCACTCCTTAATAATTTTTTCTCCTTACTCTCTTTATAAATTCCTTTGTTCTCTGTAAGAATGGTTTTGAATAAAAACCATAACCGTATCTTTACAAGGAAAATTTTGAGGCTGTTTTTTTCTTGATTTCATCTGAGTATAATTTTCTTTCGGATTCCATTTTTTTTTTGTAGGAGCCCTTTTCGGTAATTTATTAATTCAGAAATTTTTATGAACTTAGGTATCACGCATGACAGTATGTAGAACAGGAATAAAACATGGTCTCCCGGAGTTTAGGGAAAAATGCAATCTCGAGGGGAAAACTACGAAAACCCAAGTGACATCAAAAGACTGTTCAGGAGGCGACCGTTCTTACACTGTTTGATATCCACTTCTAGTCTACATTATTTTTTCAGTTATTAGATTATGAGTCGAATTCATTGTTTAAAACCTGGGGCACATCATTCACATGTGAAGCCTTCAGTAAAATCCTTTGTGAACGAATAAAGTAACATTCAAATTGAAAGCTCAGAAAGTTCTGCAGGTTGCTATAATATCATGTCTTTGAAGGATCAGAATAATTTACAGTAATTATAGGTTAGCACACTAGTCCCAACAGGGAGAAAGAAAAGGGTTGTTTCCGCCCGGTTTCGAACCGGGGACCTTTCGCGTGTTAGGCGAACGTGATAACCACTACACTACGGAAACCCTGCCGGCAGCAAAGTCTCTGTGAACCCTTGATATATATGTTTTGGTAGGCAGTTCGCAAGCATTTAAGATTGAGTTAAATGGGATTAACGTAATTTTAAAGATAAAAACAGAAGAAGTTAAAAGTAACCATATGCTCAACAGAACAGTGCTGAAACTATTTCGAAAGTTTGAATTTGCATGCATTTTCTTTCAAAGCTTCCCTGGGTACCGCTGTAGAAATCAGGCGTTTCCCTTGGGTACACTTTTTTTTCTTTTCTAGGAAATTAGTAGTTTTTCCTTTGGGTACACTTTTTTCTTCTCTAGGAAAGAAGCGTTTTATGACACATCTTTCCGCGCCTCGCGCTCCTCAGAGTTTGGGGAGAATTATGGGGCTTCCGCTGGCGCTGGCAGGCTGGCGGCACGCGGGTCCTGAGTCCCGGCCACTGCGGCGGCGCGGACCCCCAGGCCCCGTAGCTTTTACAGCGGCGAAAAAGGGACTTCAGACTCCGGTGGAAGGACCTGTAAATTATTTTTGAATTTCCTCCCCGTGCTTCCGAAGACCAACCAGAGGTTCTAATTTGTGTGGTTTTAAAATCTTCTACAGGGTGTGCAAGACACCCTGTAGACACCAAGATGGGTTTTTTCCTTTTACATGAATGTGCTTAAATTTTTCTATTTAAGAATTTCCTATGACCTTAGAAACTTGACTTTTCCGGCAAAGAGGCAGACACATCCGTATCCCTGAAAATCCAGACCAGAGAATGAGAATTAGCTTTCAGATTACACCACAGGAATATAATCTGACAAAATTGTATTTTTTTTAATGTTCTACCATTTTATTAATAATTGTATGGATTTTGTTTAGAAACCACAGGAAGAAAACACAACAAAACATTGCTCAGGATACAGAAAAAATATTAAAAGATTTTAAAACTCATTTTTAATCCTAACATTTTTTGTCTCCTTTTAGAAGTTGAGCGTTTCAGAAGCAAGGATAGTGCCTCCTCTCCTGCTACAACTTTCCCGTGAAATCTCCTCCTCTCCCATTTTCATGGGCTCCCTGGAGCCAGCACCTGCTAACAAACTTAAGTGGCTTTGGAAAATAAAACTCTTTGTGGCTCTTCATAATGTTCGAGAAATGCACTGGTGAAGGGTTAGATTTGTATCTTTTGGTAGGAAAGCCGAGTTTTCCCGATATTAGCTTTCCGCCACTCAGGGTGGGGGGAGCCCAGCCCCTAGGAGAAGCAGTCGCCGGCGGGACTACGGGGCTCACCGGGCGTCCAGAGAGCCCAGGGGCCGGGGGCTCTCCCGCCGCCGGCCCGAGCCAGCCGGGCGCAGGCCTCACCGGGCCGGGCCGGGGCCTCTGTGACGCGGCGTTCTAGGCTGTAGGCCCTGGCAGAGCCTGCAGTCGGAGCGGCCCGGCGACAGGAGGCGGCGACGCCAGCGGCGGCATGAGCGTCTACCGGCTACCGGTGGTGATCGACAACGGCTCGGGAGTGATCAAAGCGGGCCTGGCTGGGAGCCGGGAGCCCCAGTTCGTCTACCCGAACATTATGGGCCGCGCCAAGGGCCACGGCCGGGTGGCCGAAGGCGAGCAGGAGCTGTACGTGGGCGAACAGGCGCAGGCCAGGAGAAGCTCGCTGGCCGTCAGGTACCGCCTTCTCGCGGCGGCGGTGCCCCCGTGGGACCCGAGGGAGGAGGAGCCCCCAGGAGGCGCGCAGGCGCGACGGGAGGATAAGGAAGCCCGGAGCGGGAGGGGCTCTGCGGGTTGGCGTGATTGCAAATGCGCGGGCCACAAACCTCGTAGGGTACCAAACGTCTTAAAGACGGAACATTACTTGTTCTCTATGTCTAAACAAATGTATTCAAACGTACAAATAAAGTTATCGTTTATAATATATGAATTCATTTAAGAATATTACTTAATTCATGGTGCCTTTTGTCATTTGGGTTATTCTCTTCAATTTAATTGATATTAAAATTGTACTATAATGTAGGGATTTCCCAATTTTTTTAAAGTCAGAAACAGTCTTCCAAAGGGAGGGGGGATGGAATGCAACAAAAATTGCAGAGGAAGGTGGCTGTGCTAATTTTTGTTAGTGGTTACCTTCTCTGAGAGGCTGTGGCGGTTATTGCCCGTAAGAGGTAGTGGTAATAAATACGGGGATTAACTGTGGTTTGAGAGAGTAGGAACTGGAAAAATAAAAAACCAATTTATCTTATTGCTCTCCCTACAGCTACCCAGTGGAGCGTGGTCTCATTACTTCCTGGGGGGACATGGAGATCATGTGGAAGTATATCTATGACTATAACCTGAAGCTAAAGGCGTGTGATGGCCCAGTCTTGATTACCGAGCCAGCACTGAACCCGCTGGCCAACCGGCAACGGATCACTGAAGTGTTTTTTGAGCATCTGGGTGTTCCTGCCTTCTATATGTCCATCCAGGCTGTGCTGGCTCTCTTTTCTGCTGGCTTCACTACTGGCCTTGTGCTGAATTCAGGTGCTGGCGTTACCCAGTGTGTGCCCATCTTTGAGGGTTACTGTCTGCCCCATGGTGTCCAGCAACTAGATCTGGCAGGCCTTGACCTCACCAGCTATCTCACCACACTCTTGAAGAACCATGGTATCATGCTGCTTAGTGCTGCAGACAGAAAGACTGTCGCAGACATTAAGGAGACCTCTTGTTATGTGGCAATGAACTATGAAGAGGAAATGGCCAAGAAACCTGACTTGATAGAGAAAATTTACAGACTACCTGATGGGAAGATTTTCAGGCTCCATGATGAGCTCTTTTGTTGTCCAGAGGCCCTCTTCTCTCCCTGTCTCATGAGCCTTGAGGCCCCTGGCATTGATAAGATGTGCTTCAGTAGCATAATGAAATGTGATACAGATCTGAGGAATTCCTTCTTCTCCAATATTCTTCTTGCTGGGGGATCAACCTGTTTTCCTGGTTTTGATAAGCGGCTAGTTAAGGATATAGCAAAAGTGGCTCCTGCCAACACCCCAGTGCAGGTTACAGCTCCCCCAGAAAGGAAAATATCAGTGTGGATGGGAGGTTCTATTCTTGCATCCCTGTCTGCCTTCCAGGACATGTGGATCACTGCTGCAGAATTTAAAGAAGTTGGACCCAACATAGTACACCAAAGATGCTTCTGAAATACAGATGAAGTGGTTAGAAGAAAATGTTTTGCATATTTGCATATATGTGACAGAAAAGTTTGGATATTATATGTTTCTGGGAGAACAGAAAATACTTCAATTATTGGGTTGTGTATGTCTCTGTTGCTTTTCTATAATGGGGGCAATAATAATGGTGAAGTAGTCAAACAACATGTTTATTGAGTAGAACCAAGTTAAATATTTTAACCAAGTTAAAATAGTGTTTCCTATAATGTTTCTTCTAAAGTTGATCTTGGAGAGCTTACATTTCCCTTGGAGAGAGCACTTAGTGGTATGTATGCTATGTGCCAAATGAGTGATAAGATTTAAGCTTGTTGAAGTTTAGGGAAAGAAGGTTGCTGTCAGGAGGAAAGACTTCACAACAGAAGTATGTCATCATGGATGGGGTGTTATTAAGATGGGTAGGGGAGGGCAGACATCCAGGCAAGCATAATAAAATGAGCAAGGGGCTAGAGATGAGAATGAACAAAGCATATTCAAGGCATGTTTAGTACACTGATTTTGTTTAAGTGAAGAACTCATATGGAGCAGAGCAAGAGCTATAAGTAAGAAGATAAATTAAGGCCAGGGACTGAAAGGCTTTAAGTGCTAAATGTCCTATAGGCAAAGCGGAGCGATTAAAGATTTAAAAACAGGAGACATAAGGAAATTCTGTTATGATAAATGTGGCAGTAGTTTGAGAATAAATTGAACTGGGAAGGCCCTGGAAACTCAGTGATCAGTTAGAAAGTTAATAGTCCAGACATAAAATAGTCAAGTCTTGTACTCAAGATTATAAGCAATAGAAATTTAAAAGAAGAAATTATGAAAAACTGACAAGACTTCGTGCCTAGTTAGATGGACATAAAGGGGAAGGAAGGGTCTGAGATGATGTGGGAAGCTGAAAGCACGGTGGTAGTATTGACATATAACATATTTAGTATCTGCTGTATGTAACATAGTGTGCTAAGTGCTAAGGAGTCAGATCCGGCCCTTAAAAAGCTGACAGTCTAGTAGAAGATGTGGAATTCATACCGAAATTACAATAATATAAGGTAGAAGTTGATTGAGTGTCCTAAGAGAAGTATAAAATGCTCTGGGGGTCCATAGAGGGGTCCAAAACCAGTTGAGAGCGCAAGGAAGATTTTTGGTAGATGTGGCTAGAATTTAAACCTAATGGAGTACCTTTTCCTCTGAATTTAGAGGGCAACATATGTGGGTTCAGGTCCAAACCCTGCCACCTACCAGCTACATGAACTTAGGCAAGTTGTTTAAACATTTTGAAGATAAATTTCCTCATCCAGAAAATGGGGTTGCTGATCACTGTCTCACAGGGTCATCAAGTTCAATGAGATAATGTACTTAAAGGCACTTTCAAAATACAATAAAATGTTATTTTTTGCTTATAGAATTAGAAAATTTACAGGTTCAATTCAGATACTACTTCCTCCAAGGCATCAAAATTATTTATTCCTTTGTGTCTCATCACATTCTATCACTTGTACTTCTAGTGACCACTTAATTTATGCAGCATTATTTTTTGATTTGCTTGTCTTTCTCCCTCATTAGATATGTTCTTAGAAGACAGGGATTGTGGGCTTTTCCTTTTCATTTCTGCCCCCTTCTCTGATGCCTTCCATAGTACACTTCAAGTAGGTATGTAGATATATAGAATTGACCAGAAGCACATTGCTGGCGAAGGGAACTGATATCATTCCTTGGCAAGCAGTCTCCCATTTTAGTGATTGTAAGACTAGGTTGAGTAAGGTATAGCAATTATCTGAGGGCAGTTTGAACAGTTGATGCCCACACTCAGTAGATTCACAAGCATTGTAGAGAGAATGATCCCAGCCCCTCACTTTAGAATGCATAAAGCATTTTTTTAAAATAAAGAAAATAGGGTTAGCTGTACATTATCCAATTTAAACTTCAACATCCCAGAGAAATAGGCAATACAGGTATTATTCCCATTTACAAATTAAGAAATAGAGATGTAAAGAGTTTAACAGATTTAAGTTTTAAAGTGATCCCAAAGTAGCTTGCTCATAGTAGGGCACACAGTTCTTAACCATGGTCTCTTAGGCCAGCAGCCCCCAACCTTTTCAGCACCAGGGACCAGTTTCATGGAAGACGATTTTTCCATGGACCATGGTATGGGGGTTGGCGGTTGCAGAGGTCTGAGGCTCATCCCCAACAGGCCCAAGGACCGGTACTGGTCTATGGCCCCTGGGCTTGGGGACCGCAGTCTTAGGCAGTTAACCCAGCAACTATCCTGGAATGTCTTGAACACACGGGATCACAGATGATCCTTTTCAAGTTATCTAGGGAAAGGGAATAAAATGTAAAAATTCTGTTTAGTTGTATTTTCCTGCCCTTAGAATGGTCCTAAACCAACCCATGTTAACATTTCACTTTTCTTCTCTCAGATTGAGGACCAATAGCAACTACTGCACGTTTACCCAACTGAACACGAGTAAAACTTTTAAGATCAGCCTCCGGTTATATGAAAAACCACATTATCCTGGCCATTATAAAAATCTGCTACAATTAATGGTGGAAAGTTCCTCTCTTTTTACCTAATCACGACACAGCACTACGTCAAAGCAAAGTCAATGATTGAAAAGCCTTTCTTTCCTAATAAAAGGGAGTCAGTCCTTAAGTGTCAATGGGGAAAAAAAAAGCCAAACTCTGTAAAATAATTTTAAAGAGATTTACTCTGAGCCAAATTTGAGGACCATGACCCGGAACCACGCTCAAGAAGCCTTGAGCAGTGGATTCAGTGTGGTTGGGTTACAGTTTGGTTCTATACATTTCAGGGAGACAGGGGTTACAAGTAAAGTCATAAATCA